AAGGCTTCCCCGAGCAGACAGCTTCGGCTTTCCCCTGTGGAGCAGCTGGTGGGTTTGAACCATCAACTCCACAGTTAGCTGTCCAGTGCTTCCCCTCCAGCTGCAGTGAACACTCCCCACCCTGGTAAGGGAGTGCTGGGTGAAAGGGGCTGCCCGCCAAGGGGCCCGTTAGCTAGGGCTGGTGGCCGGAACCCCTCCCAGCTGCCCACGTTTGTGGGCATCAGCACACCTACCCGGGTCTACACCCCTCCTCCTTGCGACTTTGTTTGTGGCATCTCCCACATCTTGAGTTTCCTCATCTGAGTCAGGAGGTGGTTGAAGTAGGTGATCCCCTTCCCCACTTTACTTTGTTTTTTTTATTGAGGCAGCTCCTCAAGTCCAGGGATTACCTGTGGAGGCCTCGTTTTGGCCTACGTAGACATTCCTAACCGCTAATTTGGCCCCTGCTGCCGCCTCTTTCCCTAGGCTTCCGTGGTTCGTGGCCCCTGGGAGCTGCCTTTTTAGAGCCTGGGTCTAAACTGTTCTCATCTGGGGTCCTCCCACTCTGCCTCCCCTCCCTCCGGGGCTGCTTAGGGAGGACTGTCCTCGAGTCTAACCACTACTGTGACAGAAATGCCACAAGCAGGCGACTTCAACACTTAGACGTGCTTCCTCCCAGTTGAGGAGGTGAGGGGTCTGAATTGAGGGTGCCCGCTCTTTCGAGGGGGCTGGGGCCTCCTCTCCCTGTGGGCTCCAGGCAGACGGTCCTTGTGCCTTGCTTCCGTGGGGGGCTTCATGTGCCTGGCCTCTGTCCCCCCCTTCTCTGCTCTCTTCCGTGCCCTAATCCATCCAGTCTCTGTACATCGCCAAGGTGATGGGCTCAAAACGCACCCTACATGGATGCGGTCTCTTAGCCGAACCAGAGAAACCTCATTCCCCAATGGGATTGCAACTGAGGGCTTGGAGGGAGCCGGGCGGCCCAATGGTGAAAGGACAGCTGCCAACCGAGAGCAAAGTCAGTGGTTCGAACCCATTAGCCGGTCCTCAGGAGGAAATACTGACAGTTTTGGAAACCCTATGGGGCAGGTCTACTCTGCCCTAAGGGGCTGGAATTGACGTGGGGCATTGGGTTGGTTTTGGGTTATGCGGTTCCTGTTAGGTGCCAGAGTTGGTTCCGACTCACAGCGACCTTGTGCACAACCAAGTGAGACCCTTGCCGGTCCTGCGCCCGCCTCACAGTTGTTCCTGTGCCTGAGCCCATTGCTGCAGCCACTGGGTCAGTGCACCTTGTCCAGGGCCTTCCTTTGGCTGCTCCTCCACTGTACCGAGCATGACGTCCTTCTCCGGGGCTGGTCTCTCCTGGCAACATGTCCGAAGTACGTGAGACAAAGGCTCACCGTCCTTGCCCCTAAGGAGCACTCTGGCTGTACTTCTTCCCAGACAAATCTATCTGTCCTTTCAGTAGTCCGTGTACTTCCAATATTCTTCATTGTAGGGGTTAACATTTCCAACACATACAGGGGCTTCAAAAAGCTTCTTGGGAAACTGGCGTTAAAAGATAATGGAATCTTGGGGGGACCGACTCAATCTGTGGCAGGAAGTAAGAGACCGTATCCCGCCGGCCAGGGTTTGGGGCACGGGGTTCAGGATTGTGGACAACATCTCCAGGGGGAGGTGGGGGCTGAAGTGTGTCCAGAGCAGGGGGCAGGTTAGGTCTTGCCGGGGACTCTAACTTGGTTTGTTTCACCCCCAAGTCACTGCAGCAGCCTGCTCCTCATATCCCAGACAGCCCTGCCTGCTGATAACAGTGTCCCTTTGCTGGGATGGTCACTGCAGCTGAGGGTGTGCTGGCTGGTAGCCCCGGAGGTCGCCTGTCAGTACCCTTGCCATCTGCTCGCAGGAACCAGGCTGCCCTTTGTCCATCTTTCTCAGAAGCCTCCTGATGGGGACCTTGGAGGTAGGGCCAGCTAGGTGGAAAGGAAGTGCCATTAAGGTGTCCCCACTGCCCCTTTGTGCGCAGGTGCAGGCTAGTGAGCCAGAGCCTGGAGTGAGACTGTGGGGGCTGGGAGCATGAAGCCCCCTCCCAGCTTCCTGGCAGAGCTCTCCCATGGAGATAGTGGTGGGCAGCCCGTTAGAAGGCCAGGGGCTAGGAGGAGTGGCCCGAGCCTCTCTGGCCCCTGCAGGGGTGGATGTGGCAGCGCTTTGTTGTCTCCTCAGCCCCACACCTTGGCCTCCCTCATGAGCACTTTCTCTGCCTCTTAGGGCATGCCTGGCCGCCCACCGCTTACCACCACCGGGTCCCCAGGGGGGCGGGGATGACTGCGCCCATCCTCCACTCCTTCCTAGCCAGAGACCCTCCAACTTCCTGAGGTCCCCGCCGCGAGCACCACCACCACTCCCCGCTCCAGGTGCTTGGTTCTGATGGCAGCTGCTTCCACCTGCCAGGTGCACACCATGCTGACCCTGGCACAGCTCCCAAGCAGGTGCCAGGCCGGCCAGGATCCACCGACTAAGGAGAGGCAGGAGCTGTCCAGTGTCCCTCTTGCTGCTCTTCCCCAAGCCCAGCCACCCTGCATGACCCCCTCCTGCCTTTGGGGGCCTGGTTGTTCCTGCCAGACCCTGGGAGCCCTGCAGATTAGTATTCTCCCCTCATCACCTGCCCGTACTTCCTGCTGGCAAGGAGCCGCGGTGGAGCCCGCCACCAGCCCTAGCACCTGCATACCAATGGGCTGGGGCTCCCACTGCAGCGCAGGGCCCAGCAGCTCAGCTGCGGATACATTGGTGACTGTGGCGGTGGTAGCGGCCGAAGTGGCAGATCCTTGTCTCCCGAGTCTGCAGGGCTCCTGCTGGGGAAGCCACCCTACCTGTGATGGGCCCAGCCTGAGGCAGGGTGATCTGCTGAGGCCAGGACTGCTCCGACCCCTGGGGCTCTGGGCAGGCAGGTACCGGTGCCCTTAGCTGTGGCCCTGCTGGGAGCCCGGCTGGTGGAGGGATCAGAGTGCCCTGGGCTACACTGGCTTTTCCTGGGAACAGTCTTCCTGTCCTCTGGGGGTCCTGTGAGTGCTGCCGGGCTGGGGAGACCCGAGGCTGCCTGCCCAGACTCCTGGTTGCCACCTGGCTTTGTTCCCGGGCTTGGGGCCAGCCACTTCCAGAAAGACCCTCTGCAGTTCCCCAGGGCCCTTCTCCCTGCTGCAGGGGCAGGACCTGGGTGGGGAGGGAAAGTGACTGAGTGAGTGACCACATGCGTCCCCTCCTGCAGATGTGGCTCTGGCCTCGTGGCCGCAGAGTCCTCAGTGTGGCTGGCGGGTGAGCCACAGAGGAATGTGCCTGGCAGTGCTGTGGGGAGCCCACAGGACCTTATACCTTCTCCCCTCCCCATTCCCGGGCCCCCAGAGGCTACATGTAGGTGTGGGGGTGGTGGGGCTTTGACCTTGGAAAGCCCCCTTTTGGACCTGCTCCCCTGGGAGACCTAGGCCCACAGAACGAGCCTTTCTAACTCAGTGCTCAGCCTTCCCTGTTGGGCCATCCTGGTCCTGGGCTAGGCCCATGCTGGGGGCCGGGGGGTGGCAGCCCTTTGCCTCAGGAGAGCCATCCCAGTCCCCTGTGGCTGCCCTGGGCCAGAGCAACGGAAGTGAGGGCTTTCTTTGGAGAAAGAACTGGAAAAGGAACAAGATGGGGCCAGTCCTGCCTCTTTCATTTCCTCCTTCCTGCTGACGGCAATCCGCTTTGCGGGGTGTGGGCTGGGCTTGGGGCTGCCTGCTGGCGGGGTGTTTGCCCAGTTGTCCTGGCAACCACAGGCAGTGGTAGGAAGTGACACTCAGTGGCCAGACTACAGTGTACAGGAATCAGGAGGTCAAGACCCAGCCTTCCCATAAGCCATTAGAACCTTCTGCCACTCCCTCCTGCAGCCCCTGTGCCCATTGTCCACAGTGGGGTGGGATCTGGACCCCAGGCCTTGCCCCTACCCCCACCCCCTGCAGGCTCCTGCCACTTCCCCACAGATTCCCCACGGAGCTTCAAGGGCTCCTGGCACTGGAGTTCTTAGAGCTCCAGCCCTCCCCTCTGCCATCACCCTTCTTCCTGTCTGATTCCTTTCCTTTCCTGTCTCCTCCCACCTCCTCCCTTTCGCCTGCCCGCCCATTCCCTCATCCCCCCCACCCCCCAGGCGCAGCTGCTGTTTGGCTCACTCTATATATAGCGGCGTTTTCAGGGTAATTACAATAAAACTGTTGAAAGGAGATAATCCAGCAAAGGAAGCGAGTCTGATTCCCAGCCTCCCTCCTGGCCCTGGCTTGGTGCTGTCCTGAACCCCTTTCCCTGAGGCCTCCCGCTCCCACCCGCCCCTCTTCCGCAGAGGGACCCTGCTCCATCTGCCCCAGCTGGGTAGCGGGGAGAGGACAGGGGAGAGGGTCAGGTGGGGATCTCCAGGCCTCCAGGGGCCTGGCCCTCAGCTGCTTCCCGGGTGTGGCCAACTTCTGTGCCCATCACCCTGCTCGGGCGGACCTCTGTAGATGTGGTGCCCAGGTGGGCAAGGAGACCGGCGGCTGGAGAGACATTCTGCCTGGGGTGACCGGGGGTGGGGTGGACGGGCACAGCGTGCTTGTGCTTGGTGCAGTGGCTGTCACTCAGTTGTATAAATGAAACACGGGACAGATCGTGTGCTACGTTGCTACAGTTTGTTAAAAAGCAGAACTCTGCCGTCTGTCTTTGGCCAAGTGATGGAAACGTCTGTGTCGTCCTGTTACGCGGGGTGTGTGTGTGTGTGTGTGTGTGTGTGATCGTACTAGCTTCCTGGGTTAATGATGAGCTGTCAGTGAGGCATTCATAGAAAATGCCGGCCGTGGTGTCACTTCACAGTGACAATAATGACCACGTGTTGAGTCCTCCCTCTCCCCCAGCAAGCCCCGTGGAAGCCCTCACAGGGCCGTGCAGGCTGTAGTTTTCCCGGCGTCCTGCCTGGTAGCCTCCTGGGCCCCAGGCTGGCCTGGCCCACTGACCCATCCTGTCTCCTTGCCCCACAGTGGAGGTGAAGCCGGTGCTGCCCACAGCCATGCCCAGCTCCATGGGGGGCGGCAGTGGAGGCAGCTCCAGCCCCGTGGAGCTGCGGGGGGCTCTGGGGGTCCCCCTGGACCCTGCGCTGCGGGAACAGCAACTCCAGCAGGAGCTGTTGGCCCTCAAGCAGCAGCAGCAGCTGCAGAAGCAGCTCCTGTTCGCCGAGTTCCAGAAGCAGCATGACCACCTGACACGGCAGCACGAGGTCCAGCTGCAGAAGCACCTCAAGGTGAGCGAGGGGGCGGGGAGCGCTGCCCGACCTCCGCCCCAGTCCCCGCCCGGCCCCGCTTGCCCACCACCACCCCTGCCTGTGCTGCGCCCCTGCAGCAGCAGCAGGAGATGCTGGCGGCCAAGAGGCAGCGGGAGCGGGAGCAGCAGCGGCAGGAGGAGTTGGAGAAGCAGCGGCTGGAGCAGCAGCTGCTCATCCTTCGGAACAAGGAGAAGAGCAAAGAAAGTAAGGCCTGGGGGGCCCCTGGGCCCCTGTCCCACCCCGCCCCACCCCGGCCCGGCCCAGAGCCCCCCAGGTCAGCTGTGCCCTGCCCCCCAGGTGCCATCGCCAGCACGGAGGTGAAGCTGAGGCTCCAGGAATTCCTCCTGTCGAAGTCCAAGGAGCCCACTCCGGGCGGCCTCAACCATTCCCTCCCGCAGCACCCCAAATGCTGGTAATGCTCCTGGGGCCTGCTACCACGTGCCTCAGTCTCCCCTAAGGGATGCGACAGCCACCCTTGGTTTCTCTCGCTCCTCTCCCCGAAGATCCATGTCCTGTCCCTACCTAGAGTTGGGAGGAGTCCCCGGGTGGCTCGGAAGGTTAAGCGCTCCACTGCTAACTGAATGATTGGAGGTTCGAAATCTGCCTCTCCTGAGGCACCTCGGAATAAAGGCCTGGCAATCTACTTCTGAAAGGCTACAGCCACCGAAGGGCCCCCGTAGTCCAGCAAGGCCCGTCTGGTGTACTGTGGAGACGCGGTGGGTTTCATGAATGCAGGCTACCGGGCAGCAGCCCCAGCTGCCTGAGTGTTGACCTGGGCTCTTTCCCTGGCCCCCACTCCAGGGGAGCCCACCACGCCTCTTTGGACCAGAGTTCCCCTCCCCAGAGCGGCCCCCCTGGGACGCCCCCTTCCTACAAACTGCCTTTGCTTGGGCCCTATGACAGTCGTGATGACTTCCCCCTCCGAAAAACGGGTGAGTGTCCCCGGGGCCCTCCCTGGACGTGGCTCCTCCCAGATGGAGGTGGGCGGGCAGGGCTGCTGCCTGGAGCTAGCCAGACCCCTGGAGCTACCCCTGCCTTTCCCCTCAGCCTCCGAACCCAACTTGAAAGTACGTTCAAGGCTAAAGCAGAAGGTGGCCGAGCGGAGAAGCAGTCCCCTCCTGCGCCGCAAGGACGGGACTGTCATTAGCACCTTTAAGAAGCGAGCTGTTGAGATCACAGGGGCTGGGCCTGGGGGTAAGGGCTCCTTCTGTCCCTGCTCCGAGGGCCCGGGAGGAGGGGTGGCTCAGAGCAGGCCCAGGTGACAGACAGCTGCTTCTCCCGCAGTGTCCTCAGTGTGTAACAGCGCGCCAGGCTCCGGGCCCAGCTCTCCCAACAGCTCCCATAGCACCATCGCCGAGAACGGCTTTACCGGCTCCGTCCCCAATATCCCCACCGAGGTACGGGTCCAGCTGAGGGCAGGGCGGGTGGGGACCCAGCTGCTCCTTGTCCTCAGAAGACGCAGGTCCTTCCTGTCTTGCTGAGTGTCAAGCAGAGCCCTCTGCCCCAGTGGACGGGCTGGAGTGGCCTTGCCCGCACTCACTGGGCTGCCGGGATGCTTCCCAACAGCGCTGGGAAGGGCCCTGTGTGGGGCTCTGGCTGTAGGTGGGGAGGGTACCTCAACCCCTCCGCGCCAGCTCCTTTGCCCGAGCTCACGCCTGTCTCTCTCGACTGCTCTGCAGATGCTCCCCCAGCACCGGGCCCTCCCTCTGGACAGCTCCCCCAACCAGTTCAGCCTCTACACGTCCCCCTCTCTGCCCAACATCTCCCTAGGGCTGCAGGCCACCGTCACCGTCACCAACTCACACCTCACCGTGAGTTCAGGACTCCCTTCTCCTTCCCTGAGGTTGAAGGCCTGGGTCTTGGCCCCCCCCCAAGGCCCTGAGTGAGCTTAGATGAGCCCTCAGAGCTGGAGGCTGGAAAGAGGCGGCTTGGGGAGTGGGGGGCACTACAGCTTCTCCCTGCCCCCCCTGCCCAGGCCTCCCCGAAGCTGTCGACGCAGCAAGAGGCCGAGAGGCAGGCCCTCCAGTCCCTGCGACAGGGTGGCGCCCTGACGGGCAAGTTCATGAGCACATCCTCCATCCCAGGCTGCCTGCTGGGCGTGGCACTGGAGGGCGACACCAGCCCCCATGGGCACCCCTCCCTGCTGCAGCACGTGCTACTGCTGGAGCAGGCCCGGCAGCAGAGCACCCTCATAGCTGGTGAGTGGCCAGGGGGTCGAGGCGGTGCAAGGCTGAGGGCCAAGGGAGGGGCCTTCCAGGGCCTTTGGAGGGCTCGAGGCAGGACCAGGTGTCAGGAGGCAGCACAGCAGCCAGGGCCATCCCGGCCTGGTACAGGCACAGCTCCCCCCACAGTGAAGGTCCTTCCTCTGGCATGCTACAAACTTCCTTTGAGCACCTGCAGCCTGCCTGGCTTCTGTGCTGGCAGCTCCGCTGCCCCCCAGAACCATGTGGCCCCTGAGAAAGGATGGCACATTTTCGGGAGGCAAAGAAAGCCGAGCTAACAAAAAAGGAAAGAAAGCCGAGCTGTTCGTTCCAATCACACATCACCTGTGTGCACAGTCATTTCAGCGTGGAACGAGCTCTCTGTGAGGTGTTTTCCTTTTTCAGATGCCAAGTTGTGGAAATCCCATGTTTGGCCCGTGGGCACGGTTCAGCTGCTCAGCATGGGGGGGTTGTGGGGTGGGGTAGTTGCTATGGGCCTGACCACTAACTTCAGACTGTCATTCCGGATGAGGAGAGCCTGAGACAAGACCAGTTCAGCGAATGGAGAGGCGAGGCAGGGGAAGCCTGGAGCCTGGAGCCCGGGGCTCCGAGCTGTCCGCCTGGAGTCCTGGGTGGAAGGAGGAGCCTGGGAGCAAGGCGCCCCAGACCCCCTTGAGTGGAGAAGGCATAGGTGTGGCAGGAGGGGCAGAGTCCGGTGGCTGGGAGGAGGGATAGAGGCCTGGCGCTCTGCTGGAGGGTGGTTGACCGAGCCGAGCCCCCCCCCCTTCCCCTCCACTTCACAGTGCCACTCCACGGGCAGTCCCCGCTGGTGACAGGTGAGCGAGTGGCCACCAGCATGCGGGCGCTGGGCAAGCTCCCGCGGCACCGGCCGCTGAGCCGCACTCAGTCCTCGCCACTGCCGCAGAGCCCCCAGGCCCTGCAGCAGCTGGTCATGCAGCAGCAGCACCAGCAGTTCTTGGAGAAGCAGAAACAACAGCAGCTGCAGTTGGGCAAGGTGAGCGCAGAGCCTCAGGGCTTCAGGGCTCGGCCTCGGGGACACCCCCCCACCCGGGGGCCTCAGGGTGGGTCCAGAGCCGGAGGGAGGGGCTACACTAGCTGTAGCCGCCGCCCCCTCCCAGCCACCGTGCCCCGCTCCCCATGCTGCTCGCAGATCCTCACCAAGACCGGAGAGCTGCCTCGGCAGCCCACCACCCACCCCGAGGAGACGGAGGAGGAGCTGACGGAGCAGCAGGAGGCACTACTGGGGGAAGGGGCCCTGGCCGTGCCCCGGGAGGGCTCCACAGAGAGCGAGAGCACCCAGGAGGACCTGGAGGACGAGGAGGGGGACGAGGGGGAGGACTGCATCCGGGTGAAGGATGAGGAGGGCGAGAGTGGCGCGGAGGAGGAGCCCGAGCTGGAAGAGTCTGGTGCCGGCTACAAAAAGGTGCCTGCCCCTCCTGGGCGCGCGCCCCCCCCACCAGGGTGGGAGTTGGCAAGGAGGGGACTCCGGGACTCCCTCCCCTCACCCTTCCCACTGCCCTCCGTGCTGCCCCAGGCGGGAGGAAGGGAGCAAGCTGCTGGTGCCCGTCGTCCCAGTCTGCCGGCCCCCTCCTCCCGTCTGTGACTGCCCCCGCCTGCGCGTGTCCACGTGACTGCCTGCGACTGTGTGTGTCTGCGTGTCTGCCTGCGCAGGGCAGGCTGTGCGTCGGTCCCCGTGTGCGCCTGTGTACACATACGCCCCCACTGCTACTACAGTCAGCCTTGCACACACGCACTCACTAACGCATTCTCTCCATTCATTGCGGACACAGCCCTCTGTCTGGGCCTGACTCACCCCGCCTCCCCCCCCCTGCCCGCCCCCACCCCTCCCAGCCTCTTACCTCAGTGCTACTGGCTTGTGACTCATCACACCTCCATCCTGAGGCCGGGCTGCTGAGGTGGGGGAGGGAGGGGGAGGAGGAGCCGCATGTGGACCCCCGTGGAGGCCCGGAGGGTCCCTGCCCTCACTTCTTCTCAGGCTGAGCCTCATCTGGTGCCTCCTGGCTCCTTCTTCCAGGTGTTCTCAGAGGCAGCGCAGCTGCAGCCGATACAGGTATACCAGGCGCCCCTCAGCCTGGCCACTGTGCCCCACCAGGCCTTGGGCCGCACCCAGTCCTCACCTGCTGCCCCTGGGGGCATGAAGAGCCCCCCAGACCAGCCCACCAAGCACCTCTTTACCACCGGTGAGTCCCATCGGCGCCCGTTGCCCTCCTGCACTGCTAGGCAAGGGTGAGGGGCCCTGCGTGGAACCAGGCCTGTGCGCAGCTTCAATGTGTCCCCTGACGGGACAGCTTAGCTGGCACCTCTCCCTGTGCACTGCAGCACCTGTGGTAGCTGTCTCCCTGCTGGGAGGACCGGCAGCCCCTCAAAAGCATGTTTTGGGCTCCCCTCTCTGTAGTGTCATTCCAGCCCCAGAACCTGCTGGGGGAGGGCCCACCATCTCACCTGGATCCCCCCTTCTCCTTGGAGGTCTGGGATAGAGACTCAGCCACCGTGTGCTGGGACCTGGGGACATTTCCTTCAGGAATGGAGGAGGATGGCTGGGAGGAGGGGACAGTGTCACGGCGGCCACATGGCTGGAGAGCAAAACCACGGAGGGTGTAGAGGGCGGTCTGGTTGGGAGGGGCTGCGGTGAGAAGACTCTTGACAGGCAGTCATGGAGGAAAGGGGCTTCGGGGAGGGATCTCAAAGCTGGAGAGGAGGGGGCAGGTAGACTGTGACCCCAGGCTCAGAGCTCTGTTGGCCGACACACCTGTCTGCCCAGGTGTGGTCTACGACACGTTCATGCTGAAGCACCAGTGCACGTGCGGGAACACACACGTGCACCCGGAACACGCTGGCCGGATCCAGAGCATCTGGTCTCGGCTGCAGGAGACGGGCCTGCTGAGCAAGTGCGAGGTAGGGGTCGCTGCCGCTGCAGCCGCCTATAAGTGACCAGAGTTGGGACCTCCTCCACATCTGGGACCCTGAGCTGCCAGCTGGGGGTCAGGTAGAGGGTCTGGGCATCAGAGAGTGGGACCTGCAGTGACCCTGCTCACCTCTCCCCCCCTCCCCTGCAGCGGGTCCGGGGCCGAAAGGCCACGCTGGACGAGATCCAGACGGTGCACTCTGAGTACCACACCCTGCTCTATGGGACCAGCCCCCTCAACCGGCAGAAGCTGGACAGCAAGAAGCTGCTCGGTGAGCCATGGTGTGGTAGCTGTGCCTGCCTACATGCGGGGCCAGGGGGTGGGAGAGGTGGCTGCCCAGCCCCAGGGGCACAGGTGCAGGCTAGAACAAGACTGGAGCATGCTGGCGACAGGCACACAGGTGACAGGCTCAGACTTAGTGGGGGAGCATGAGTTTGCCCTTCACTCCATATGACCTGCCCCAAAGGTCAAATGTCCCCCCACGGGACAGGGGACAGTGAGCTCCTCACTGCTCTCGCCTGCAGAGGCCTCCCAGTCTGGGCCTTTTGGTGAAGGGTGGGGGCTAACCCCAATGACCTCTGCAGACTTCAAATTGAGGCAACTTTCAGACTAGCTCCCTTCTTTCTTCCCCGCAGGCCCCATCAGCCAGAAGATGTATGCCATGCTGCCTTGTGGGGGCATCGGGGTGAGTGGGGCACCTGCCCATCAGTGGGGGGGTGTGTGTGGGGCAGGCTGCTCCCTGTTTTGGTACTTCCTTCCACCCACCTGGCTCTGGCCTGCTGCCCTCCCCCCCATTCTTGCCCTCCCCCTGCAGGGGGCACGCTGAAGCCTGCTCTCCTGCCCCCGCAGGTGGACAGTGACACCGTGTGGAACGAGATGCACTCCTCCGGGGCCGTGCGCATGGCGGTGGGCTGCTTGGTGGAGCTGGCTTTCAAGGTGGCTGCCGGGGAGCTCCAAGTGAGTGTGGCCTCACGAGCGGAGGCTGGGAGGGCGGGTGGCGGGGTGTACAGGTTTTACCTCAGTGAGCTGGGGAGGGGGTGCCCGCAGGGCCAGCTGGGATGGGTGAGGAGTGAGGGCTATCCCAAGCAGCAGCAGCAGCAGCTTCTGGAGGCCTCTCGGGGGCGTCTCCCGGGCAGGGAGGGTACCTGCCTGTGCCAAGCAGTCTGTTGGATCTGCTTTTCTGCTCTGTGTCCTCCCGCCTGGCTGGGGCGCCTCCCCCTCGGTGGCCATCCTGCCCGCCACCTCTTTAGAATGGGTTTGCTGTCATCCGGCCCCCAGGACACCACGCGGAGGAATCCACAGCCATGTGAGTCCCCCTCCCGGAATTCAACCCCCCTGCGCCCTCTACCGCACATCCTCCCAGCCGCCCGTGACCTCTGCCCCCGGGGCCAAGGTGGCCTAAAGCTGACCTCCCCCCTCTCCCCCCACGCCCCTAGGGGATTTTGCTTCTTCAACTCCGTAGCCATCACAGCGAGGCTCCTGCAGCAGAAGTCGAGCGTTGGCAAGGTCCTCATTGTGGACTGGGTAGGCAGTGGGCTCCTGGAGGCGGGGCTGGGCAGGGCCAGGGAGAGCTGGGAGCTGGGTCAGCCTTCGGAAGCCCTCCCTAGCACGACCTCCAGGGAGCCACCTCTTCCTCAGGCTTGCCCACCGGGGGACCTGGCTTGGTCCCACATCACATTGCCACACACCTTACACACCTCCTGTTGGCCCATCAATCTCCGCTGTAGGGCTCCCTCCTCCCACAGGAGACTCACAAGGGTCCGAGCCATGTGCCCTCTTGGCCCTCACCCTACAGCCTCAGGGATTTCGTACCCTGAATGGTACTGGACACTGGGGGTGGGGGGGTGCTGGCCATGTGCCAGGCCAATTCTCATGGTGGGAATCATGTCTGTGTCTACGGAGGACACCAAGCTTTGGGATGACCAACCTAATGTCACTTAATGGGGGTCATTGGCACTGGGTTTCAGACCAGGCCTTTGGTCCCAAACCTTTTACTTTTGCTGCTTCATGATGTTTCCCTAAACCCTGCCTCTAATGGGGAGGCCAGGCACCCAGCCCTGGGTGCTGGGCAGGCCAAGGACCATCTGCCACAGGGCTGATGCTGCCGTTTGTCAGCTCTTTGTCCCCAAATTGCATGCACATCTGTGTTAAGGTCCTTACTAGTTAATTCGCCAAAACGTTTCCCCCGGATCCTTAAATAAAATTATTCTGGGGGGGGCACTGCCACACTTAACCTGTGCCTCTGTGTGGCACCTGCATGGTGGCCCATTGCAGACCCACAGGCCCAGGCGGGCCACGGCGTAAAAGCAGAGTGCTAAGAGAACTCGCGTGTCCCTGTAGTGGGCGGGTGGGCTGTACCCCTGGGCTCACCATAGGACGGGGGAGTGGGAGTTGAACCTCTAGGTCTGAGCTGTGCCCGTGTCCTCACTGCCCACTGTTCCCACTAGGACATTCACCATGGCAACGGCACCCAGCAGGCGTTCTACAACGACCCCTCAGTGCTCTACATCTCCCTGCACCGCTATGACAACGGGAACTTCTTCCCAGGCAGCGGGGCGCCTGAGGAGGTACAGCCCTGCGCCCCTCCCAGGGCCCCTCGGGGAGGGTATAGAGTAGGGCCAGCAGGGAGCCACAAAGGTCCCTGGTGACTCGGGGCCTGGGGAGCCTGGGCTTCTCTTGGGAGGACCTCTGTTCTAACAGCCCCTACGGGCAGAGCCCAGGTCAGTGAGGACGGGAGGTGGGATTGGGGGAGAGGATGTCTGGGACGCCCCCCGCCCCCCACTCAGGCAGGGAGAATAATCCCCTCCCACCCTGGTGCCAGGTTGGCGGAGGGCCGGGCGTGGGGTACAATGTGAACGTGGCATGGACGGGAGGTGTGGACCCCCCCATCGGAGACGTGGAGTACCTGACGGCCTTCAGGTGGGGGCTGAGGAGGGCGAGCAAGGGAGGGTGGGGAGCCCCTGCCCCGGCCCTGCTGTGGGGGGCAGACGGCACTCAGTTTGGTCTGGGTGGAGGGGGATTGTCTGGGAGGAGAGCAGGTGGCACAGGGCCTTGCCCAGCCCTTGGGCTGGTCATCACAGGCCCCCCATTTGCAGGACAGTGGTGATGCCCATCGCCCACGAGTTCTCCCCGGACGTGGTCCTGGTCTCCGCCGGGTTCGATGCTGTCGAAGG